TGATAATAAGGAACCCCCGAAACCCTATTCTAATTATAAAGGCCCCTACACTATTTTGCTGATGACAAACCGGTTGCTTCAAGCTTCCCTTTGGGTCAGCCTGGTCGCGCGGATTGTGGTTGCGGCAGTAAGGCGGTTCTCGTGGTGCTCCAGTGGTGATGGTGGTTTTCCATGTGCAAGTTATGACACAAGACAGGACAAGGTCTCATGTTTCGTGCATGCTGGCCTGCCTCAGGCACGTAAGGTGTGGTGACTGCAGGCCCTTGCAGTTCGAGTCGAGCTAATATGAACGCCCTAAATAATCACCAATATTGTTCCTTAGTGTTCTTTGTTGTTATAACTATACTTGAAAGGAGCCCAAAACCCTATTCTAATATTAAGGCCCCTACATTACTCCAAACTCCTGTGTTGCGAGGTGCAGAAGAGCCTCCTACGTCCAAGGAGAACAAGGCAGCAGCCGGGAGCCTTGAACATCGTCGAAGTGGCACATCTCCGCCTCTTATAGCGCAGCCAGACATGATCGCCGCCCATTATGATAATATAGCTCTAAATATGTTTATACAACTGAGAATATAGACTTTATAACATACAAGCTACCATATTCAATAAACACACAATATGTATTTGCATATATATATATATACATCTGCACATTTATATATAATTATATATATATACAACTTATGTATTTCAGCGCTTTTCTGCCCATCCCGAATGTAACGGTTGGCCCACAAGGAGCAGCCAGCACATGAGCAGAGCCCGTCCAGGGCTCGGCTTGTTGAGTTCGGCCTGTTTAGGCTTTCGATTTTTGTAGGGGGAACAGGGCCTTTGGGGTGTATGGTTTCGATTTTTGTTGGGGGAACCGGGGGCCTTAGGGGTGTATGGTTTCGATTTTGTTGGGGGGACAGGGCTTTTGGGGTGTATGGTTTCGGACTTTTCGGATTTAGGGTTTCGGGTTTGGGGGGTTTAGGGAAGCTCCTTGGAGCGGGCTGGACCAGGAGGTCACGAGTCCGGACCCAGGTTGCTCGAAGTCCACTCACCGCCTAGGGCTTTGGGTTTGTGTAAAAAAGGGTTTAGGGTAGACTCTACAGACTCTACGGACCGCTTGAAGGAGAAGTTCCTTTCTCTTGGACAGCGTGATAGTAGTAACAGCAGTAGTAATTAGTGGTAGCAGCGCAGCAGTGTCAGTTGTGCCATCGTCGCAACTGTTGATGCGAAGGCTTCCTAGATTTGGGGTGCGAGGTGTGGTCCCTGTGGAAACTGCATGTTCTGAGACTCGCACGCAAAGGGGGAGCTGGCCGTCTTTGATTTAAGGCCGCGCCACGACAAAGCACGGAGCGCAATCCTCACGGCGATTCAGATGCCGCGGGGCTTGCAACTGGAGTTCGTAATTAGTCAGTGTGGCAATATTCAGAGTTAACCTATGGGAGCACCATGGGAAATTCGAAAGCATATGCACTACACAGTGCTACGAGACAATCATAGTGGGTCTTCGATTGAATATAGCGGCGCGCTACGTTTTGTACTGGCAATCAGAGTAGGTCTTCGATTGAATAGCGGCGCGCTGCGTTTTGTACTGGTACAGACCGCGAAAGCATAAAAAGCAAAGGCTCAGTTGTTGCTCTGCTCGTAGTCTCCGCTGGTCCGCTGATGCCTGAGATAGAGCCGAGAGTCGTTTAATTTACAATGGCGGGTGCCTGCTGCAGGAGCCTTGACAAGCCTTGATAATTACAGTATTGTTTGGGTGGTATCTTTTCGTAAAGTCGAGCATATCGAAGAACTTGCAGTATATAGTCTCAGTGTTCAGCTTAATCAGGCTCTTGTAAACATCGACGGCAACGACGAGGAAGAACATGACGAACATCAGGTAGCCACCGCTAAAGCACAGAGCTCCGCCTACTTCTGCTGCTACGCCTGCTGCTGTTGCTGCTGGTGCTACGACGACGACGACTACTAGTCTTTGTTGACCTTACATATGCATCGGTCCACACGATGCAATTCAAGCCTTCATGCTTCATGTGTTTTCCTCGCTTTAGTCTACTGGGTCTGCTTCACTACCTTACATCATGCCGCACTCGTTTCTGTATCGAGCTCTCTTTTTGAAGTGTGTAACTTGCTTTATGGGTATCTGTGTCCTCGCTTTCGCTCGGTGGATCCGGGGCGAAAACAGCTGTCACCACGGATGAAGTGGATGCACTGCCAATGGAGCCATTCACCTCACTGGGCACCCTCAAGTGTACAGACCAACTCGTCCAGCTATTTGCCGAACGTGTGTAGCGCTTCGACGGGTTCCTGAAGCCTGCCGATCTTAGCCTTTCTGCACTTCGTGGTTCTTCAACTTTCGTGGTTGCTGAGAAGTCCCGCCAGCACCTGTTAACGCGCCCGGCAGGCTGTCGAAGGATGACGAGCGGAAAGGGCAGGCAGCTGCCGCATGCCTTCACGGTTCCGGGATTCCGTTTGTTAAGCAGTTGTTGTCATATGAGGCTACACGAATACTGTCTGAGACGTGATGTAGTTAATTAATACCGTATTTGTAAAGAGTTTGGTTGGAATGCAAGTAGCGCTGGGGTCTTGGCAGCTCTCCCTGGCGATGGCTAGCCCAGACTGGGTCTATCATGTCTCGTTCGGGGCTGGATAACTGGACAACTACAATTTATCCACAAATCTTTCTTCCGCGTTTCGTTTGGGAGCGACACAAGAATGCTATGTCAGCATTGGCCTCGCCCCACACCGGCTTTGAAAGGCGTGACTCGGACATCCATTTCTCATTTCGATCTTCCCTATAGTCTCCATTCCAGTAGTTTTTTTTGGTAAAAACCAACTTTATATTTAGGAGCCCATAAGGGGTCCCCAAAAAGGAACTACCATGGAGATGAGAGTTCCCTCCTACGCAGGGTCACTCCAAACTCAGGTTCTCTCGGTCTCCCTATTGCCACTTCTCGAGTTTCGCTATTCTTTGTATATTATAACACACACACACTATATATATATATATATATTTATGGTGACGGCCATAATGATTTTTCCAGTATTTTTGATTATTATCATTTTATCAATGATAATCATTACAATCATAATGGTAAGAATAGTAGCAATATTAATATTATTAGACGTATCTGGAAGTCTCTGCAGCAGCTCCCTTGAAGGAGTCCGTCCTGGTGCAAGGTGGGCTTGGGCTTTGCTTGAATTCGTGCCGTGCTACTCTGTGACACGGTTTGGGGTTTAGGGTTTCTTGGCAGTGGCTGTTGGCTGGGGGAGAAAGTTTTGGAGTGATTTGACAAAGATGCTATGGAGAGTTTCAGTTGAGCAGAACCCCACACAGATCTCAGGCAGGCCGCGTGAGATCTTGTAAGCCCTGACGGCCCTTGTGAATCTATGGTGAACTCGAATAGCAACTGCTGGATCCGGCTTCCGCTTGGGAGCAACACCTGCCGCGCAGATGCCACCGAGCCTGTCCTTGTCCAAGCTGTGCGGCCGTCACCGGCACCCGACGGACCCAGCGTGCCGGACCAGGCCAATCATCAATTCCATCGGGTCAGGGTTAGGATTTAGGGTAATGTTGGAACCTGATCCTGATTGAGAAACCAATGCCCTATGTAACCGCAAAATAGTAGGGCTCATATAAGGAACCCTAAGAAAGACCCAAGGTCTTTGAACCAGGGTCCTATATATATATATATACATCAACAAATTTCTACCAGAGTAACAGTAAGTATGCTTCCAGGGGCTAGCACCTCCAATAGGCCGCTTTTGAAACTCTGAACCCGACGTCCGACGGAAGGCCCGTAAAGATCTTGAAGTCTCGAGCAATACAGTGATACTAGTACTGATGCTTATCCTAGCCCGGAATAGTTCCGTCATACTGGTGCTGATGCACTACTACATGTATGAATACGAACATAGGGAGGGCAGGAAGGGTGGTGAAAGGAGTTTGAAACAAAAACGGAAACTCCGAGGGGCCCGCTGCGCCTGGTGAGATGCCGGTGCAGCCCTCTGTGGGCTCTCAGACACCGATGCAGCCGCCACCCGCGCTGGCGAAGGCCGCGGACCGAGACTGTTTTTTTGTGATGATGTGATCTGTATGCATATGTATATGTATGTGTATATGTATATGTATATACGTATATGTATGTGTATATGTATCTGTGTATGTATGTACGTATGTATGATGTGATGTGAGATAATGTAATGTAGCATAAATGTAATGTAATGTAATGTAATGTAATGTAATGTAATGTAATGTAATGTAATGTAATGTAATGTAATGTAATGTAATGTGATGCAATGTAATGTAATGAAATGTAATGTGATGCAATGTGATGTAATGAAATGTAATGAAATGTAATGTAATGTAATGTAATGTAATGTAATGTAATGTAATGCAACGTAATGCATGGTATGTCATGTTATGTGATGGTGTGTAATCCTGTGTATGTATGTATATATATATATATATATGTGTGTGTGTGTGTTTATGTCCAGAGTAGTAATGAGTGAGTGCTCTGGGAACTGGCACTGCTTTAGTTACACAAGATCCTCAATGATAACACTACTTTGTCACCTTGCTTTACTCCCTGTAGAGTTTTTTGGAAGAGTATGTCTCCAGAAGCGATTTTGACGAATTTCATGGTGTTCGGCTTGGGGGACGATGCCGATCAGCGCCATGAAGATGGTGCTCTAAAAATCATTGTTCCTGCTCGTCTTCTCATGAAATTGAAAGCTCGCTCGAGGCTGCAAGCCCCAACCAGACAGCGTATCGCCGTTTCGTGGCGCGAAGCTCGGATGTGAGGAGAAGCGCACATGTCACATGCCGCCGAGCAGCATGAATCCGCATGGATGGTGAGGTTGCACCACCAATGCTTCCGACTGTTCCAACGGCACAGGCCGAGTTCAGTGCCGGGCTAGTTGTGGTTGAGATTGCCAGCAGCCCAATGCAGGCACATACACTCTCCTTCTGCACATCGCTAGATGAGATGAAACTTGATGAAGGAAGGGTGGAGACAGGGGTGCGATAAACAGTCAATTTGCAGACGGCAGGCATCGACACCAATCATTGCAGCTCGGGTCGTGCGGTGAGCTTAGACCGAAGGTGTGAACACTGCAGTAGTCGTGCAGATTTGCATTCGAATAGCAGACATGCCACGACAAGCAGAGCCTGATCAGCGTGCACGACCCAGCGACCTCGTGCTCAGCAGTTGAAACACGAGTTCGACAGCCCTAAGGGCAAAGGGCACCTCTGCTAGTGGATCAACACCATACTTAGATCCTCCACGCCTGGACCCCCTAGTTCCACACATGTCCTGCGTCGTTTCGCCGCTCTCACCGTCACTTCGCTGTTTCGGCACATAGTCCACTTAATTAGCCGCCCGCCTGCATGAGGGTTTCTGTGTGAGCGTAGGCAAGGGAGTTTGAGTTTGGGTCTAGATTGCGTGAGGTAGATCAATTTTAGGGCAACCCTAAACCCTAAAGCCTGACATGAGAGGGAAAAAACTGACATGTTGTGGGGCCTGGTCTGTTCATGGTCGTCGACTACCAACTTCTGAAGGGATCGACCTAAGTCGTGAGACGTTCCACGCAGGAACTTTGGGGCTGAGTAGGTAACCTTTGGGGCTTATATAATCCTACTATAACTCAAAAGGTTACCTTTTTTTGGGCTAAGGTACTCAGCCCCTAAGGGAAAAAGGTACTGTAAAAAAACAAAAACCTGACATGTTACCCTAACCCTCCAGGTACCTACTATATAGGGCCCCAGGGGCTCTAGTACCCTATATAGTAGGTACCTGGGGGGTTAGGGTTAGATGTTGGTGGGTTTCCGGTTTCAGGTTGTCCGCGGTTCAAGAGCGAGCCGAGACTTCTCAACTGCAGCCCCCAACCCTCAAACCCCCAGCTCCCAAAACTACCCTACCTTAACCCACCAGAACCCACTTTTTTGAAGGTTCCTATAAATCCCATATTAGGGTTTGTAATAAGAACCTACAAAAAAGTGGGTTTTGGTAGGTTAAGGTAGAGCCCCTTAAAGGAACCTTTCGAGAGCCCTTATAACAGGAACCTCAACAAATCGCTAGGCCACTTGACCTTCTTCCGCTCGCTTCTATGACTGGGTTCTTCTTTTTCTTAAGGGGCTTGACTCGTTTAAGTTACCATAAGATACTCAAGGGATTTAACTCGTTTAAGGAACCATACAAGATGGATGTATAGAAAATGATATGGTTTCCCTATTATGGCATCTCAAACTAGTTTCCCTATCAAGAACCCAATTGAGGTCCCCACTTCACCGAGTGAGCCCTGGCGCGCAGGCTCGCCCTGGACCTACGAACACTTTCATTCAAAAGATATACACATACCCATAGGCCCCATAGTAGTTCCTTTTTTGGGATTACCTAATGGAATTCTAAAAAATAACCCCCCAAAAGGAACTACTATGGGGCCTATGGGCATGTACTAGTTGTTGGGTGTGTGTGTGTACGTTACGTACGTACGTATTTACGTATGCATGTACGTATGCAGGTAGGTATGTATGTATATGCGCCCGAGCGGAATTACAATGTCAATAGCCAGAAGAGCCGCTTTCCATGCCAACCCATCGTGCTGGCTTCAATGTGAGATTTGGCATTTGAATGCTAGCTACACGGTGGTAGAGTTTCGGTACTTGGGCCTCCTGTTGCGGGCATGGCAACCATAAATCTTCAGCATGAGCAGAAGGTCTTGGTCCCGCGGCATGTGTTTGTCACTGTGTGTGCAAGCTCGCGCTGCTTGCAGCTGCTTTGGCTCTGCAGTTGCTGCAGGGATGGTAAGCATGGCAACATGTGGTAAATTAGGTTTCTGATTAACAATCACCCGTGTTGAAGTTGAAGGGCTTTGACAGTATGACCCGCGATGGTGCCAGTTCTTACTTAGGAGCTTCATTCGTAGGTTGTATAGCGCTATGGGTGGGCGAGTTCTGGTTTCAGAATTGACATCTGTTCCACTTGCCTCATAAAGTGCCAACGCAGGCTCGTGCATGAACCGATCAGCAGTGACTGACCATTTCCATTCTTAAAGGTCAAGAACATTCCTGAACCTGTTGATCTGGATCTGACGTCCTGCTTCGTCGAAAAGGCTACAACCGACAAGAGCCGGCAGGGAAGTTGGACTTCATGTTGCCACTAGGTCACTAGGTGTTGATCTGACAGGGGGACTGCAACCTGAGACTCCGACGAACTCGAGCAATGTCTTCCGAGCCGCCCGACTTCTCAGAGGAGGGCTTCGTGGTGGCAGGCACCGAGGTTTAGGTTTCTTTCTCGGAAGATGTTGAAAGGTGAAGTTAGGTCCTCAGGTGGGGTTCTGCCTTTTCCGGTTAGTGACACTCCATGTGTTGGTTTGTTTGAGGGGGTGCAGTAAACCAGAGATCGGGCTATGTGAGTCGTGAAGGCTTTGATCGTGGCGGTTTCACCACGTGACGTTCTGTTTTTTGCGCGTGCTCTTGGAGCTATGGTGAAGTCTCCTGGTGGTGGCGCAGGTGGTAAGACCTAAGACGGTAACTGCATGTTGCTCACCGGAAGCCGTGGTCAGGCGTGCCGCTCGAGGTCTTCGAGGAAGGCCTGAAGGCGAGACAGGTTAAGGCCCTAGGCTTGAGGGCTTGAAGGGTTTAGGGTTTATAGGGTTTCAGTCATCAACAGAGTCTGGGTTCCAAAAAGGGTTTCAGTCATGAGTACTGCACTGCTTCACGGCAACGGCAGTTCCGGGCGAGAGAAGCCTGCTGCAAAAGGGTTTCAGATACTAGGTTTTCGGGTTTCAGTATCAGGGTTTGGTGTAGGTTGCTCGATGTTGGGGTTGGCAGCAAGCACCTGAACTCTTGATAGGCCGTCCTTTGTGAAACCGTCGGACTCGAATCTCACAAGAGAAGCAACCTGCTCTTTTCATTGCAGGGCTCCTGAAGGGGAGGCATGCCACTCGGACGGCAGGGGTGAATACATCGGGCGGAGGTATCAGCAGAGCCCCTCGGTGCAAGCTACACATATCGACCCCTAACCCCCCAGCCAGGTACCTACTATATAGGGTACTAGAGCCCCTGGGTTAGGGGACAAGTAGGAGCCTCGCATAGCCCCGCCACCCTCCAACCTTACGCTGCGACTCGCCAGCTTCCCAGGGCCGAGATCGCCTACTCCCCTGCACAGCTGTTGCGAGTATCCATAGGCCCTAGAGCAGTTCCTTTTTGGGGTTCATGTATAGAATCCTATAAGGTAACCCCCAAAAAGGAACTACTATGGGACGTATGGGTATCTTGCCACGGAGATGAGGACATGAAGCCAATGTAGCACCGCCGCTCACGTGCCCGAGACTGAGGCCTCATCACTCCAGGTCCTCAGGGTTTGCAGGTCTTGGTGTGGGGTTGCTTTGGAGCGCTAAGCTTCCAACACCAGTGACCAGAGGCGGAGTTGAGGACCTCTGGTTTGGGTTTAGTTTAGCAGCTAGCACCTTCCTACTGTACCTTTTGCGATGAAGATTTCTAGTGCTGCCTTTAAATTTGTTTGCGAACCAACCAACCCACCCTAAAGCCAGGAAGGTCCGCAATCTCGCCGCAAACTACTGTGTATCAGCCAGCATCACCTCCCCGCACAGGCTCGCCGCTCAGCACGAAGACTGCTGAAGGAGACAACAGCTGCATCAGTGTTGGGATTTGGCTTCAGGACCTCGAGTAGCCTGATCTTTGGACTCAAACCCCCGCCCATGCGCAGGCGAAGGAGATAGACGCCGAAAGCTGCCAGGGTACAAGAGTCATGCAGCTCGGCTCAGTTTTGATTCCGACACGTTCGTAGCAATCCAGTGAGCATTCAGTTTCAATGCCATTCACTCGCAAATAGGTGTGCGATGATAGTCACATAGTCACTGCAATGTTTGCAGCAGCCTGGCAATATAAGTAACAACATTCGTATTAACCAAATTGCGCTGCTGGTTAACACCAGAGCCGTGCTTGCCTTTGACATGACAGCTGTGGGATTCAACATCAGTGTGATGAGTGCACTGCTGGCATATGCTAGCATGTCATCGTTGAAGAATCGGGCAAGAGAAGAATGATTCTGGCAAGAACTGTGAGAGGTACTTCACCGCCGTCCGTGACGTTGAGGGATAAGTCGGAGAAGTATTGAAACGAAATGCGCACAGAGCTATCTTCACGACAAATGACAAACACGACGGCGACAAGAGTGCAGCAGCGGTGCAGCAGCAGCAGCAGCAGCAGCAGCAGCAGCAGCAGCAGCAGCAGCAACAACACCATATACACAAACAAGAGCTGCCCCTTGAGTGGCTGTAGTACTTGCTAGTACCTGTCTTCGTCGTCTTCGTTGCCGTCGTGGCCGCCGTCGTGGCGGAGCTAGTAAAAACCAAGCATGCCATCGCTGGCTGAGGTGCGAAGGAGCTTTTAAATCGATGCGTCGGTGTCTCAGTGTTGCCGGGCCCTCCGTTGCAGCCGTGGTATGGTTGCCATGCGGTTAGTGTATGACTCATGAACAGTGTTCTGCTTGGTCTATGTATACATTCATGGCAGGCAATTCCTTCCTGGTGGATTGCCGCGAGCAGACGCACCGGTGCAACCGTCTCCGGGACCTCATGGAAGAGTGCCAGCCACTGGGACATGCTGCAAAAAATGGCGTTGCCCTTATAGAATTGTCACACGGGTAGGCACTCAATATCTTTGCAGCCACATGCGTGATTGCATTGAAGACTCAGAGCATGGGAGCCCCAGCCCCCAGGAAACAGAGTTCTGATTCGAGAATGGTTTGGCTTGGTTTGGTTTGGCTTGGCTTGGCTTGTACTTTCATGTTACAAAACCTCAAAACTGTATCATGCGGATAGCCGCTTTGCGATTGGAGTTCCAAGGAGTGCCTGTGAGGCTGCCTTTGCACGCTGCAGGACGGACTGATTGTTTGCTTGCAAGCCACCGGCTAGCTACAAACGTACAGGACCTGATTGCATGGCAGAGTTCGCTGCTCAATGTTAGGACCAAGCCGCCCCCAGCTGCTGTTTGGCAGTCCCTGGGACCAGTTCTGTTCAGATGGGGCTTGGGCGAGGGCCGCAGAGACTATGGTGAGTACGTCTTGGTGACATGCCACTGGCTTTCGGCCAATGGTGTCCGAAACCAGTTAGTCGCATCCGAAGCCGAATCCCGGGTTCTTTAACAACTTAGTGGCTATTGCCGTTGTGAAATTCGCGAAACGTGAGTCTGCGTAGTCTGAAGTAGGAGAACCAAAGACTTTGTCAGCCTAACCTCTCGCCTGGTTTGCAAATCCGCCTTTGCATGTCCAGGATGTGGACAGCTCCCGGCTCCCGGTTAGATCTCGAAGCGCCAAGGCTCTAAGACCCTAGCCCGAACCACTCGACACTGCAACCCCAAGGCTCGAAACTCCCCAGCAAGAGAACCCTGAATCCCTGACTGTGTCCAGTGGGGTGGGGTAGACGGATGAGGGAAGGTTTGAGCGCACATCCCCATCTCCTGCTTCTCCGCCCTGCACTTTCGTGCCCTTGCTTAGCCCCCAAGCCCTGTAGGATGCACTGCCGAGAGTGACGGAGACAGAAGCCCCCAACACCCTAGAAACCGGAACCCTAAACATCCGAAGCCCAGTACCATATTATGTAAACCTGTATCATAAATCCTTGTCGTCCAGTGTATTTCATGTGTTTCTTAGACACCCTAAACCCTAAACCCTAAACCCCTAAACCCTAAACTCAGACTCTGATGGTATTTTCAGCCTACCTCGGGCTGTTCGAACCCTGCCTTGCCCAAGGAAAGTCCAGGAACTCCGTGGCCAATGGTGAAAAGTTCAAATTTTCATCCCTCCGAAGATCGGAGATTCCTGAAACCCAGGAATGTGCTGCAGTTTACATGCAGATATGCATACATAGAGACGTTTTTTATTCAGAAGTTCGTTATTTTTGTACACAGTGTGTACGAGGTATTACCTGCGGGCTATGCGCACATAGATAAAGTATGAGGGTCTCATTACACGTGGGCTTCAGAACACTTGCAGTGCGCCGTTGCAACGATATCTTCAACCCCCTAAATCCTAAACCCTAAACCCTAAACCGAGCAGTGTTGGTTTCTGCAAGTAGGGTCCCTGCTTGACGATCTCAGCAAGAGGCAAAATCCCGAGGAGGAGCTCTTGGTTTGTGGGTTCGGTTGCTAATGTAGGGGCCTTAATAATTAGAATAGGGTTTTGAGGGGTCCTTATTATTATAATCTTAATATAACCTTATTATAATCATAGTATAATATACCCCCTTCTAATAATTATTAAGGCCCCTGTATTAATCGCGTTCGGAGCCGGACCGTCGTGCACTCGCATGCTGTGTTGCAGCACGCTGCAAGTGAAGTCGTTGAGCACTTCTACATTGTGCCGCGGAGAGTGGCGTGCGGTGTGAGAGGCAGTAGACCGGCACAGCAGCGAAATCTGCCTCATGCAGTTCAGTGGTGGGAACCTTGAGTTAGAAACGGTGAGTGCTCGTGGTAAGTTCTGCAGTTTGCTACGGACACTGCCCCCCGTCAGCGGCGTCTCGACATCCTTCTGCACGCAGGTGGCGATGCCAGCAGGCGGGAGCGTGTCCCCCTGCAGGCGCAACCGTTGAACAGCCGTGGGATAAGTCTGTGGTCCGATGTGCTGTAGAAGAGAGATGAGACAGAATGCGGAGTCGATAAGTCGACTGTGGTTTATTGGCTGGCTTTGGTGTAGATGGTCGAACTACCGTTGAAAGCAGTAGTGGCAACATGACCCACAACATCAAGAACATCAATCATAGCAAGATAGCAGGTTTTGCAACAACAGTAATGCCAACAGCGGCTTCTTACAATGGTACTAATCATGGCTCAAAGGTGCCACGATCCCAGCTCTGCACGTGTTCAAGACCTCTTCGTGGTCACTGCCTCCTGCACCGACAGGCCTCTGGGTTTCTGCGAGGTGCGGCAAGTGCTGCCCTGAGTCTGTTTCAGGGTTCCCTAACCCCCCCAGGTACCTACTATATAGGGTACTAGAGCCCCTGGGGGCCTATATAGTAGGTTCCTGGAGGGTTAGGGATTGTTCAGGTCTGGTTGAGGTTTGGATGTTGTAAGTTCACGGGGGCACATGATCGGAGCTTCAGGGTGTGTCATCGGGCCGCGAGATTCGGCTCATAAACACAGTTAATTCGTAAACACGTCCATCCATGAGCCCAAACCCTAAAAAAGTATAAGATCCGAGACGATGGCAATGCAACAGCCCCGATCTGATGCACCATATTATACTGTATTTGTTACACCCGAACCCAAGCCGGGTAGAGAAACCTTTTGCCCGGGATGAGCTGCGCTTAGTTTCAATCCATGTACAAGTAGCTTTTCAATCGCTGGAGGGCTCGTGGCTTCAGGCTTGGCAGGTTTAGGGTTCAAGGAGTCTCGGTTCCAAAATAAGGAAACGTTCATGCTGGAGGGCGTAGGGTAGAAAAGCATTGAGTTTCTCTGCTCTGTGTCTGTGCTTTCTGTCTCTTTCTCTCTCTCTCTCTCTCCACCACGTAGCGGCCCTGACCGCTTTCGGCTGTTTCATGCTGAGAAATGATTCCGAATGCGGAACTACCGGTGGGCAAAGGTAAGCCATAAGAATCCCGAGCTCGGCACTCGGAACTGCCGAAGCACAAAGCCTATCCCTAACCCCCAGGTACCTACCAGATAGGGTACTAGAGCCCCTGGGGCCATATATAGTAGATATCTGGAGGGTTAGGGTATAGCATGCAGGCCACATCGCCGCCGCCCAGATCTGTGTCGCCTTGCCGGTCCGCCTCGGCTAATCGGGGGGATCTCAGATTTGATTTCGGGTGTAGGGTTTAGGAGATGAGGTGCATCCTCGTAGCTGGTCTTCAATAAACTCCCATTTCGGGTCCAGCTAGACATAGAGACCGAATGGAGCAACATGGGTATCGGCTGCAAAGGCTTAGGCTCAGGGTTTAGGCACGAAGCTTCAGAGTTGCGGGGGTCTTATTCGAATACGTTCAGAAGTCTGATCTCAGCAACGCGCCCTTGCCAGTTTACCGGCAAGATTTGTGAAGTGAGAGGATGCCCCATGGACGAGGTAGGTAGTTCTCTAAATTAGGGTTCCTTTGAGGGTCCTTTTTATAAGGTTGCCGTACTAAAGGGACCCTAATTTAGAAAACTACCCAGGTAGATGCTAGAACACTGAGCCGGACAGCTTTAAAGGCTTTGCCACCTCAAGTCTTGGGAAACTCGCCACGGACAAAAAGACAGGTAGGTAGGTAGGTAGGTAGGTAGGTAGGTAGGTAGGTAGGTAGGTAGGTAGGTAGGTAGGTAGGTAGGTAGGTAGGTAGGTAGATAGGTGCATAGATAGGCAGACACAAAGTTGAATAGATACCAGATGGGTAGATAGGCTTTAGATAGGTCGGTAGATCGATGGATAGATGGATGAATGGATGGATGGATGGATAGACAGAAAGGCAGACCGACAGATGAACTGATCGACACACACAGACACACAAACCCAGGAACACAGACAGAGACCCAGGCAGGCAGGCAGGCAGGCAGGCAGGCAGGCAGGCAGGCAGGCAGGCAGGCAGGCAGGCAGGCAGGCAGGCTGACAGACACACAGACAGGGACAGATGGGAGATGGACAGCGACGGACGGACAAAGCAAGACAAACCAAGAGAATACCCTCGAAGAAGACAGCGAGACAGAAAGACAGATAGATAGATGAAGAGGTCGAGTAGATATATAGGTGGAAGATAGACCGGAAATAAACACAGTGGTACATAGGTCAACGAACAGACTGTATGCATACATGCACACACTACGTGTATCCGAATCACATGGGGGCATCACGGCATCAAGTCTCATGGGGCACGAAACTCAGCAGAAGCCAAACATGCATATGTATGTATATATATATATATATGCATGCTTAATGATGACCATGACGATGATGATGATGAGGAGGATAATGACGGTGCTGCGGCTGCTGGTGATTGTGATGCTAGTGATCATGATAATCACTATCATGATCATCATCATCATCATCATCATGATCACGGCAGGCCAGTTGCAGCAACGCCGCCAATGATGCGCCCCAGTTCGGCACTCAGCTACACCCCAAAGTATGTTCGAGCCTCAATTGGGTTTAGGATTTAATAATGCCCTATCTAAGACCCAAGCCCTATATATACTAGCGCAAGGCTTAGGCAACTCACCACGCACCTTGCAATGAGGGAGCACTGCACAGTCGGGCTTGAGACCTTCATGGTGAAGAGCACCTGGAAGTGGAACGCTACGACCCTGACCACACCAGGCAATGCCATACTACTGAACTGAAATCGGATACCAAGCAGTGCTTTCTCATAGAAATCAGGCCAGCCTCATCAGCTTTCAGAGTCCTTCTTTGCTACACGAAGGGCTTTAGCAGCCGGGCGGGGAGGGCCGAGGGTGAGAGTCCAACCCGGCACCATCCTAAACGCTAAGCGCACAGTACGTAATGTAGGGGCTTTAATAATTACGTATACTACTTTGGGGCGTCCTTATTACCATTATAGTATAATATACCCCGAAACCCTATTCTAATTATTGAGGCCCCTATATTAGCCATAACAAGCTTGGTCCAAGGTACGCTGGCAGCCCTTAGCTCAGACTTTGGCGTTGGCTGGGCCATTTGAATTCGGGGTGTCATGTAAGACCCTATGCTTCCAAGCACCTTGTAGTAAGGGCCCTAGACCCCTTTACAACCCAATGATAAGGTCCCTGGAAGCATAGGGATATGCGTACAGGCTTGGGATCAAGTTTGTTTGAGTTTCAGTGTGTTGCATTTGTGCGCGATGCTTGGGCAGAGAGTGTCAACAATGTTTCAGTCGGCATGCAGTGTGGTAGCCTGCTATGAGGTAGCCCCATAAAGCGTGAGCAGGAACGCGTATGAGAATTCTGTTTGCAACCCCTTCGGAACACACGAAGACGTCCAACATAGTTTTTCTAATCCTAGCAATGCCGTGAGCTCATTCGAGCCAGTGCTGAGTTCGGGTTGTGCATTGTCACATACCAGCGCAGCCGTCTTGGAATGTACGTAAGAATCTTATCAAGACGACTCACCCTTAGCAGGCGCAAGGGACGTTGCCAGGCCAACAAACCAAGGAACGGAAATAACTGCCTACAAGCACGCCCGAGTTCCACGAGTGATCGATTGCTTTGGACAGGCAGCTGTTAAATGGTAGCTTTGTTCCAGTATCACTCTGCCCTATGAAGTGAGGCACAGCATGTCAGAAAGTTGCACTTCTAACATGTTTCGGAAGATAAACTCGGTTACTGGGATCTCCCAAACAATTCTCCAGGCCTCAGGCCCCTTGCAGGAATCTGGTTGTACCTAGAAGCCTCTAGATACCTATATACCTATATACTGGCTATTCTACTACATGGTTGTACGCGGACAGCAAGCTACTAAGTAGATGTGCCATTGGGCTTCTGCGGAGTTGTGCCTTCATGCGATGGACGCGCCGTTCAATCCGCCTCTGGCGGGGATGTGCCGGCAGAGGCAGGCTGCCACCAAAATGTGTTCACTGCCCTAAACCCTAAACCCCTAAACCCCATAAGTTCAGTGTTTCAGTCGTCGGGTAGCCTGAGCCCGCCATGACCAGGAAGCATGAAATGTTGACCTGCATTGGGCTGCGGAGCCAAAAACGCAGTTGGGTAGTTCTCTAAATTCGGATCCCCTTTAGGGCCCCTCCAATTTAGAGAACTAACCATGTAGCCCCCCTAAACCCTAAACCCTAAACCCTAAATAACCCTAAACCCTAAACCTTTGCTTGGCTGGTCTGGCCACGGCCATGGCGCAGGACTCCTTGTCACTGCTGTCGCCTTGTTTGCGGGCGCAGCCGTCCCAAGCGTCTCGGAGGACTTCGGAAGCCCTTCATGTATACGGGGCCCAAAAATAATTACCTATACTACTTTGGGGGCTCCGTATTAGAATTATAGTACTAACATACCCCAATGTCAAACCCTAGTCTAATTATGAAGGCCCCCTACATTACCTGCTTGCCTTTGGAGGGTCGTGGAGCCTTGAGGCCTCGAGGCCGAATCCAGGATTTCCCAGGTTTGGAATCCTAGGGTTTAGTGTTTAGGGTTTATAGGGTTTAGGGTTTATAGAGTTTAGGGTTTATAGGGTTGAGGGTTTCAGCAGCATTGCCTAGGCTGCTGAAGGGCTGGGAAGTGCCAGCTTGCAATTAATTTTCCGACTCAGTCCACTTCTTTGCATCCATTGTTCCCAGTGCTCTCAATAACTCTGGTCTGCGTTCGGATTTATGGGTGTTGTTCCCATACCTGCGCAGTCTCCCTTGACCCCTGCCGCACTATGAAGGAGGTGCGCTGTGCTTGGACCGTGTTGCCCGCAGCAGAACAACTGCGCGAGGCAGGATCACCAGCCCGATAAGACCGGAATGCCAAAATGCAGAAACATGATCTGATCATGGTAGACAGAATCAAAGATCATGAAGCAGGGCGCATCGCTGTTTAGATGATGCCTCTGCGTTTGGATAAGGCGGATGTGGGCCACCCCAGAAACCCCCCCGCTTTATGTTTGCTAAGATTTTCTTGTTATAGCCCTGAGAACCGTCATGGTTGTCATTGCAAATCATGATTTCGGCTTGCTCAGTCTTGAAGCCGTCGTGATGGCTAATCGCTTCCCCCCTACCGGTAGCAGTAAACCGCAACAGTTGCTCCATAGCAAGTTCGTGTGTGGAGGCACATGGCATTCTCACAGCCCTGCCCGCCCAAGCACAGCGGTGGCATGTCTGCATCCGGTTCCTTCACATATGTTTGCACAACTTCTGATTATCGAATCATGTAAACAAGAGTGTACAAAGAGTTCCTCGCACTTTCCACACGTCTTGGAAACTACACTGGTCTCAGTCATTCAGTCCTCGCTGCGTAATAAGTGCAACCAATCAAATGTGTAATCCTCAAATTTCACATCGCTTGCTCCAGTCTTCAACGCATTGATTGACGAAGGCTCAGGTTTGAAAAGCAGCTCTACAATCCCCAAGTCATACACTTGCAAGTTGTCCACAGATCCTTTCCTGATTGTCAACTCAAGTTTGCAGTTCGAGCGGCCTTTGGCATAAAGGTTAGCCGTCTTTATATGCTGGACATTGAGTGGGTGCTGGCGGGAGCAGAGCATTTCGTCGTTGTTGCTGCTGCTGCTGCTGCTGGTTGTTCGCTTGGGGTGTGGCCGCCGCATGCTTGTCACTAGCCTGCTGGTGGTCGGGATTAAGTAGCCCAATGTAGAAAATCACATTGACGTTGAGGTTCCTAGGAAGACACCCTTGGGCCGCTTGAAGGCACAGGTACGCACAAAGCAAGGACCCGGGAAAAGCCAGGCCGTCGAAATCTTCATCAGTTCCCAAGTTGAACCCTCACCCCCCAGGTACCTACTATATAGGGTACTGGAGCCCTGGGGCCCTATATAGTAGGTACCTGGAGGGTTAGGGGAATACCCAAAGAGACACAGAGGCTTCCGATCAGCGGCTACCTCCCCCATCCTCCACCCTGGCTTCCCGGTCCCTGGGCCGACTTCCTGATGGGTTCCTCGGCAAGTTGAGAAGAGGCGTGGTTCAAAAGGAGGGGACGGTTTGAGGTCGGGAAAACCTGACAGGATAGCTTCAGATGCAGAACACGAGTTCAGTTTCAGAGCCCGGGAGACGCGATTCGGAGAAGCTTGGTGCAATTGACATGATACGTTGATGTGGCGCCGTATGTCTGTTGTTGCAGATATACTGTGACAAGGTGTGAAGCCTTTCGAATCGAAAGCCCAGTGAACCGCCCAAGGGGGCTTATAGGGTTGACAGTAGGGCCCCAAACCCTCATACTGTAGGTCTGGAGTCGGCGTCCCTGGAAGAAGCAGAGATGCTGGGACTCGTCGAAGCTATCAGCAGGTCGCGGCCACTGTCGAAACTTATGCGTGCACACGTGAGTGTGTATGTATAAGCCTGTATATACACATACATGTGTGTAAAAAATACATGCATGCACACATGGATGGATTAGTGTGGGTATTCATTTGTGAGGGGTATTCGTTTTGCAGACTTTCGTGCGTCGTGGCGTCGTGCATAGCAGCCAGATCGACAGACCCCTCGCATGCTCTATTGTGGCAGCTGGATCGAGAAGAGTGCGTCGTCTCTGGTATTTACGACGTGGGAGTTGCAGAGACAGAGGAGCAATGCAGAGTGATGCATCTTACATGACCGGGCAGCAGATTTAAGCCGGGGTCCGCTGCAGCAGTCCTATACAAGTCCTATAAACCTAAACCAACTGCACCACTGATGACATTATCTGAAAGAGTTCCTGAATGCCCAAACCGCTACACTCCGAGCTGGCGGCAAGAACCTCCAACATGTGAACGGCGGAGGTGGCGATCAGAAGGTGGCCCACGCCCGCCGTCGTCTCTGCAAGATGTGGCCATAGCCCCAAACAGGGGCTCCTACATGTAAACGACGTGGTGACTTCGGGCCTTAGCTCCTTGTGAACAGCTTTGAGGCGGTTCGGTTTTGGGAAACAGGCTCGGATGTACCGGTCATACAGAGGCCAAACACGGTGCAGCGATGATAAGTTGCGCCGCTTGTGACGGACAAAACTTCGCCTACAGCACAGAGTTTCTCCTCAAAGTCGGCAGCGAGACCCTAAAGCTCAAAGACTTGAAATCCTGCAACCTTTCCCACTTAGAATCCCTATAGATAATCCACCCCAGACATAAAGAATCGATCTTCTTCCCATTAAGGCTGAGTCCTTGAGACGACTCAGGGCATCCCTGCCCAGTTGGGGAGGCTTGGGATCTCACTTCGCAGAAGTATTCGCATTTTTTGCCGCAAACAGAGTGGTACAGTTGGGTGGTTGTCAAAATTAGGGTCCCTTTTGGGGTACCCTAAATAATAGGTGCCGTATCATAATAAGGACCCAAAAAGGGACCCTAATTTTGACAACCACCTAGTTATCAGGAACCGCTAAGTTCGAGCTAAGTGAGACCGAAGATGGTCAAAGCCCACGACCCCTTCAGCGGCACCCCCTGCAGGCAGCAGCATAGCCGGACCTTCGGCTTCGCCTACAAAGACTCCCGACACGATGATACGACTTCGTTTCGAAGTGATCTTGAATTCAGCTGCACTCTTACATATGGGTCTTATGAAGAGAACTGCAGGAGAACATGTTTGTGTTGAACCGCGGTGTTCGATTCATAGTACAGGGTGTCTTTTGGAGAAGGCCTTCCAAATCAGTCGTGTAGGTGAGGGGCTGCATACGCAAGGGTTCCTAAGTAGTTCCTTTTTGGATAGTATACTATAACCCCTTACCAAAAAAACATAACAGACCCAAAAAGGAACTACTTGGAGCCCCTGGGTAGTTGCCATGACGATTGGCCGGTGAAGTTGTTTGGATTCCTGAGATCCACCGTCCTTGTGATCAGACCCATTGCTTGTGGTTGAAGGCCAGCTTCCAGCAGGCAGCTTCCAATCCACATACCCGCCATTTCGAGCACAGTTGAGATTTGTGGATGTGATTCACAAGTTTGCCATTTCCGCGGTTCTAAGACGTCATGAGCATACTTCCTTTGATTTCAGTCGTTGACATAACCCGAAGTGGACAGCGAGATGAAGTGACAATGTTAGGCCAGACATCAGAAACGAATTTCATCGTTTGGAAACTTATAGTGCTGTTGCTCATAATGGCCGTCACTTCAAGGCTTATTATGCTGAGGTGTAGGTTTCGCTGCCAGCCATCCACAATCCCAACCCAATTTGAGCCGTACGCGTACAGACGTCAGCAGCGCAAAACAAAGCAAGCCCGAATCCGTATGTTCATCATCCCCACCCTGTTCCTTTGTCATAGTTGGGTAACATTTTACTTTTTAAGGGTACTTAAACCCAATAAGGAATATAAATTTGAATTTTTAATACTACCCCAACCATGAACAAGGTTCCGAAATGACAAGTGCAAACGAAGAAACAGACATCAGGGACGCAGAAGTTATCCCTCATCCCAGGTTTGGGATGAAGCGGGGGAAGGTTGGACAGGCAACGTGTGGTTTTGTATCGCAAGGGCCGGCTTCCGGTTTCAGGGTTGTCTTTGAGAGGCTCTCGTGTGAGAGCAAAGTCGGGGAGGCAGCTTTGACCCGGATAGCCCCAAGCTGCAACAGTTCCGTCGAAACTACTTCTCCAACTACTTGGCCATGGTGAGCAAGCTCCAGCGTGAGCACTGAACTCCCCTGCCCAGCAGCCGGAACCCCCCTGCCGTGGGCATGCAGATGTCAGAACTGTGATGATCTAGTACCGAAGGTTCAATGTGTGCTTGCACCAGCTACCGCGTTGAAGCCCTTCACACAGAATCTCCGGCCTTGGTCAACGCAGACCACAACAACAGGGATAACATACATGATGAAGGTAGGTATGGCATGGAGTTCGCGGTCCTTCAACCGCAATTTCGTCGACATTGCTGCTCAAGCACAGCTCCAGTTCGTGCTGAAATAGGCGTGAACGTCAGCGAGTCCAGGAGCTAAGGCCCTGCAAGACACTGAAGGCAATATGCTCAGAAGTATACATATACATATGCACATATACACCAGGAAGCCTGTATGTGTGTATATATATATATATATGTATAGAGTAGAACAGCTAGGTTCTGGATTCTAGATAGACAGATGGATGGATAGGAAGGTCGGCAGATAGGTAGATAGGTAGATGTGTACACAGACAGAAAGAGACAGAATGAGATAAATAAAGACATATAGATGTTTTTGTCGATGGATAGATGGATGGATGAATATCATGTACATAACGTCTCCCGGTTGCATAGCGTTGATAATCCTTTTCAACCCTCTGAACACATGCTCTGTTGTTCCTTGATATTTGCTATCTTGGGCATGGTGCTCACTCTGACCCCACGTATGGCTGCAAGATGTGGCAGGTATACAGGGCCAAACCCGATAAGTAAGATGCCAAGCTGGGAAGCAAGGAAGGGATGGGTTGAGTAGTTGGCCAAGGCCGCTTGTGGACTCGCGGAGTACGTTATTCTGCAGCCTTGCACTAGCAGTGCAGGCTGTCTGTTTTTTACTTAATAACCCCGATGGGCCCACAGAGCCAGATTGAAAGGCAGAGTTGAGCTCCAACGTCACGATCAAAGTGTGTCCTGCGACGTGGGCTCTTCGTGGGCTTTCCTGACAACAACAGAAAACTGCCCGAACGTGAGCACCAACCAACTAATTAAGGTACCCGAACCCCGAATCCAGGGTGTATAGGGTCTGGGGTTCAAGGGTACCGCTCCAAAATAGGGCTCAGCGTTCGACTCAGCTCAGATCTGACCCCGCGCCCTCTGCGAACTTCCGATGCAAAGCCCAAAGACCCCTCGCAGCTCAGAGCACCCCCATCGACAAGACCCTTCAGGCATTGCACGAATGATTGGGTGGTATATGGCTTCACCCAAGTGTATCAGGGACCCTCTATTTAGTACGCCATGGTGTAAGACCCTCTATTTAGATTCGTGTTTGGTGGATGGGATGTTGGAAATCGGGCCATAAGCGCGCTGCCTGAGCGATGCCCTTGCGGCGGGGTCGCAGTGGGCGAGGGAAGCCCGATCCGAAACACCAGCATGCGCTCAGAGATGCTTGGACGAGCTTGTTTTGGCCTTCTGGTATAGGTTCTAGGCTTTATATAAGCTTTAGATCTAGAATCTAGAACTACGAGGATTTCGGTTAGATTGCGGCTGTCTGAGCTGTTGAGGGCGTTGGAACTTAGAGCTTGGCCTGCTGGTCAAGCATACATGCATCAGACTCAAGAGGTGGAGATTGGAATTTCCAGTTGATAGGGTTTGTTCGGCTATGGGCTTGGGAAGACCAATACAGTTTCAGACATCCTACACGTGCACGACAAGAGAAAGCGACATGCCAAACAATTTCGCGAAGGCCGGTTGCTTTAACGGAGGCATGATTTTCAGGAAGCACAGGCATCATGTTCACAACACCACTACTGGGCACGAGTGCAGTACCGCAGAGGTTATAATCCGATGAATAGCGGCAATAGCACGGGCCTAGCACTTCAGGAGATTTGCAGCATAGGGTGGAGCGTGTGTGTCTTACCCCAAAGGAGCAGGCTACTATAGGGGCGTTATAAGTTACCTATACTATTTTGGCACTCCTGATTGTAATTCTGGTTTCATGGGCCCGAAAAACCCTATTCTAATTATTAAAGCCCCTATGTTAGGAGAGCTGAAGCTATAGTATAATCATATACCCCAGAACCCTATTCTAA